AAACAATGTAATGATACACGAGATTAGCTTGCATCGTGGAAATGGTGTGCAAAACAAGATGGTGTATCCATATAATATCAGAACATCCCCAGAATCCCATCTAGAATTCACTGTACGTGAGATGCATTCACGCACATCCCATTAACTGCCAACGCTGGCTACAATTACATGTAATATAATAAGTTCCTCTGACGTTCTCACATGCATAACGCACGAAACCTAGCCGTGTGTAAAGCCTGGGACACACCATGCGAATTTATTCGCACGTCCGCAACGATCATATCCGCAGCGAAAATCGCGGCGAAAATATTCGCACCCGCATGCGAGAATTGAGCAGACACACCATGCGAATTTATTCGCACGTCCGCAACGATCATATCCGCAGCGAAAATCGCGGCGAAAATATTCGCACCCGCATGCGAGAATTGAGCAGACACACCATGCGAATTTATTCGCACGTCCGCAGCGTACACACTACACGCGATCTACTGGTGCCACACGGCTCCACCATGGCTCCAACAGTCATGTGGTCACGTGATTAGCATACTGATCAATGATTCGCTGCATTATAACAATCGGCCATTATTCGCACTAGAAAAGAATTTTTTATCCATTTTTACCCATCCCTTCTCACAAGCTCGATATAGGCCTATATCGAGCTTGTGAGAAGGGACGGGTACCAGTCTATATTCGCACGTCCGCACGTCCGCAGCAAAAATATCAAACATGTTTGATCGCCGCAAATTTCAGTGCGGATGAGATTCGCAGCGAAATTCGCCCGCGCTTGAGCAGACACACCATGCAAATTTCGCTGCAATTTTACAATCGCTGCGGATGTGCGAATAAATTCGCATGGTGTGTCCCCCGCTTTAATGACATCATCGTCGGATGCTTCGAACGCTACGAGTGGGCGGTGATCGTGTGATTTCGGAGCGTCTGCCGTTCCTGCTGTTCATAAAGCTTGTGTCCGGTCGGCAGCTGCACTTGGAACACGTAGCCACTCTTGGGAGTGTCGAGCAATGCCGCGGGACAAGGCTGAAGATGAGATGTCAAAGTACACGCTCAGTCTGCAAACTGTTCATCGGATCGTGTGAAAGCGTCTGAGCAATCTTATTGTACGGTAACTCCATGCAGCTAACCTACCGAAACCGTTGCTGATGGGTTAATTAGCTAATTAGTTAATTAGTTAATTAGTTTTATCGTAAAGTAATACTACATTCCTTATATGCCATTATTGTGCTACACACGAGGATGAATAGGTTAGTATGTACATAGGTTCGTGGCTTTAACAACTAGTAGGAGTACGACGTCAACTCACGGGTTTTGGGACGGACAGTTTGATGTGTGGTGGTGTAGTGTCGAATGGTGCGATGATCTGGTACGGCGCCGCAGTTGGCCGGTTACTTCTCGATTCCTGTGTCGGGTACTGCTTAAAATCACTGCGAGTTGTTGACAGTGCATCGAACCTGAAGAGAAAACGACGATGATTTCATGACTAAAACTAGTAGAATCACAAAGAGGAATTCGCAGAGAGATCGTCCCTTCATGCAACTACTAGATAAAAGAGGAAAGCATCGGTCACAAAACCACGCATTCCTTGAGCAATATATAAAGGTTATATATTGCACCATACAAATTACGCATTTAATCACACGGATGCGAGCACGCAGTACACAGAATTAGCTCCGTTTCTCAATTAGGCATACTTTTCAACGATTCAGACATGAGTAAAAAAATGTGCCCGGTTCACTAGTGATAGTCGACTGTTTTGCTTACTGGCCAGTAGATGGCGTTACGCTGCCCTGGAGTCTCACTGTCTTGGGCCGCTGCCTCACGTATTCTTGTTGGTCCGGCCAGCCGGCTGCATTGGGCAGGGTCGTGTGGCTGTAGGGACGCACTGGTGTGACGTTCGCTGCGCTGGCGTTATCCCGGTAAGACGCTTGACTAGTGGTGAACAGTTCCATCGTGCCATGGGGTCTCTCCCACTTGGCTCGCTCCTGCACACAATACGTAGCGTTAGGCTCGAGTTCCGAAACTGTAGACAGTGCAAGTAACAGCTAGACCTGCTCGTCTGAGAGGGGGAACCATATGCCTCTCTTGGATATTGGTGTTAGATCGATTAAGCTAGAACAGTTTGTATGGGGACTTTCACACGTTCATGCCAAATTATCGATTTTGTAGCACACTTCATTGCCAAGCATTGTCTTTTAAAACGTCTTCCGACAATGACAGTTGGCTAGAGCTCCCTGTCACTCATGCCAGGCAGGAATTTTTTTCACAATCTGGTACTGTTGTACTGTTGTATCTAACCCAGATAACATGCTGACGTTGGGCCAACGTTGGCCCAACGGCTGTCTTCAGCCCATGCCAACGTTGGGCCAACGTTGGCTGCCAACGTTGGCCCAACGGATTTTTGCTCGTTGGGTGGACGTTGGCCCAACGTTGGAAGCCGACGTTGGCCCAACGTTGGGCCATCGTTGGGCCAACGTTGGCCCAACGTCATATTGCCAACGTTGGCCCAACGTCATACTGCCAACGTTGGCCCAA